GGATGGACGTTGATGGGGTTACACGGCAGTTGGTGGGTGTAACTGTTTAGCTATAGGAAGGTTGGGGAGCTAGGTGGAGGAGGTCCAGTCCCCAACCAAGCAGGCTTGGAGATCTCAGCCCCGAGTCCCGCACATCTGGGTTCCTCTGCCGGTTCCTCATTTAAGCATGTGGAGAGTGGTCTCAGCATGACTTTGGCTGGGTCCTGGAGGTCTTTAGCTGTAGGGGCTCTGCTCGGGGTGGAGAGGGAAACTCAACCCGCCCTCCTCCAAGAGGCGCCAGTGAGGACAGCCAGGTGCAGGGGCAGGAGACTCTTCCCCAAATACTAGGGATATGTGCAATAAAAGTATTCCCACACATAAGAAAAGAGTCTCACCCAGAAAAGTGAAATATGCTGTTAAGAATTTGACAGGAACTTCCCTCTATCGAGAAAAAATCTAATAGTCTAGGTAGCACCATTATTCATATCAAATAAAAAAACCAAGGCTCACCAAGAAATACATGTCAGAGAATTGCTATTACAATGTAAGCTTCAGTGAAAATTCCAAAAAGAAAAACTTTAGACAACCAAAGCTTGGTTTTCAGTGGCACACAAATTCGTTGCATAGGATTGATAGACTATTTCGTATCTTGTGATTTTAGAGTGTCAAGAATATCTGTCTTTTCATTCAGTTGTCAAAATAGACAAATTTCCATGGGAAGCATACATGCAAGTAAATTTTGTATATGTCATTAGGTTTGACAGGTCTTGAAGTTTCACTTGAGCTAGCAAAAGTCAGTTCAATGTTTGTATGTCACAGATGTTAGCTACTGAGATTTTATAACTTCCCACTAGCCCACATTTTAGGAGTTGAAAATAACAAGAAAGCAAGGCTAAGACTTTCTGTAACCTTGAGAACGGTATTGAAATGGCACCTAGTGCCCCCAAATTTACTCTTCATGCCCAACCTCCTGCCCCATATTGTTTGCTGAGCGAGCTGAGCCCTATTTAATGTTTATGCTCTAGCACAACACATTTGAAAGAAATTGACTAAGTTGTTCATGACTTCAAAGAACATTCATTGAAATTGTGTTAAAATAGATATTGGGTTTCTGGGAAGATGTTTAAAAGGGATATCTCAATTCTAAGCATTAAAAAAGCTAAAGTTTATACTGATTGTGGGGTCATGAGAGATTTCAAACACCTCACAATCTTAATTTTAGGTGGAAAAAATGGTACTTCAATTACAAATTTGACAGTGCTTTCTTTGGGGAAATCCTACTTCTGTGAGTTCTTCAAGTTGCTAAAATGAAAGAGAGAAAGAACAGCAAGAAGGCAGGGGAAGAAAGAAAAAAAGACAGGCACAAAGAGAAAAGTAAGGAATAAATAGAAAAGGTGGAGGGAGGAGGGAAGGGAAAAGAAGGAATTGAAGATGAAAAACTCAGAGAATCATTTAATTTGGCCACAATTTTTATTCTGTAACTATAAGGCCTTTGCCTTGCGTGCAGCCGGTCCAGCCAAGGAGTCCTCCGCCCCTCTCGGAGAGCCCTGCAAGCTACCGAGAGTATCTCGCTCGTACAGCAAAGCCTGGCAAGCTACCTGTGACGTATTCAATATGCCAAACACAGTAACAACAAGTCTCAAATGGAGACGTTACTGGGCCTGCTCGAGCAACTCGATGAACAATGGGAGGACAGTGCTACAGTGATGTTATAAGGGGCTGGAGCAATCGCATAGTGGCTAAGTTGTTTGTCTTGCACGTGGCCAACCAGGTTGGATTCCTCCTCCCATCTTGGAGAGCCTGGAAAGCTACCAAGATTGCCACTCAATGCCTCTTTTGCAAACCACAACACCCAAAAGGAGAGAGAGAGCAAAAGGGAATGACCTGCCACAGAGGCAGGGTGGTATGGGGGGGACGGGGGGTTGGGAGGGATACTAGGATCAGTGGTGGTAGAGAATGGACACTGGTGGAAGGATGGGTACTCGATCATTGTATAACTGAAACCCAATCATAGAAATGTGTAAGTCTACAACTGTACCTCATGGTGTTTCACTAATAAAAATTTAAATAATAAAAAAAGAGTATCTTGCCTGCACAGCAAAGCCTGACAAGCTACTCATAACGTATTTGATATGCCAAAAATAGTAACAACATAACTCACAATTTGTTGTGAGACATTACTGGTGTCTGCTCAAACAAATTGATGAAAAACGGGAGGAAAGTGCTACAGTGCTGTTATAAGAATCCTCAGAAAAATTACTATTTTTCAACTCAACGAACAAAAATGAGAATGAAAAAGCTGATCTCCTGTTCAATTTGCAGGTTAATTTTCTACCCTTTCCCCACTCTATCTTCTCTTTGTTTTTGTGTAGTTCAGCACTGGTGTTTTTTTCATTGCACTACTAGAACCAGATTGGCAGACAGCTGAAAGCTGTTGATGAGAAAGAAATGTTGTTATGGATCATCTTGGAATTCTATGATTGTGCATTTCCCTCCCTTGTTAGTGATAGAAAAATTTAAATTGTAAGTCTTTAAAAATCATTATTCTCTTTTTCTGGTTAGCAATGCAAGGTACATTTAAGGATTAGCTTCCACAGTGAGATGTGCAAAAGAGATTTTCTGGATCTAACATTCATGTTTTGATTTCTGGAAGGATCTACCTAGCCCATTTCAGGTACTTCTCAATCCATCCTGCTATTTTCACTATTCGCCTGCATTGCCATTCAGCCCATTAGTTTCCTATTATGTGTACTTGATCTACGAACCTTTTTCTTCCTGTAATGATCTCTTGACTTCTGGCTTTGGTCTGATACATTCATGATTATCTGGAACAATGCCCTCCTGACTTGTTATCACCATGAGACCTTTCAAGCTGTGTGCCATTTTACTAGACAGTTTCTGTATCACTGTTTCAGCCTTCTGGATGGGACCTAGGCAAATCCCTACTCTGCCAACAGTGTTAAATTATAGAATCTGATGATGCAACTATTTTTCTCACCAATTACCACAAAGACACCAAATATTCCCCAGTCAAAATTATGTGTCATACAATTAGGAACTCCAAGAAATCACATAATAGGCTTCAATGCACTTAATGTGTCTCTCATTCCCACACATCTTTTCCAAGGTTAATCTTAAACCTTGGATCTATGAAACACGCGGTGAAATCCAGATTACAGAAAACTTGGTAATAGTTAGGATGCAACAGGAGGAAAACACAGAATACATTTGGAGCATTTGGGGAAAAACAGGGACTGAACAAGTGAATGAATGCATTCATGAAACAAAGATGAAAAAAATCCTGTTAAAACATCTAAAAACAATGTTTTTTTTTTTTTAATTGAGATACAATTGGCTACAAGGGAGGATGTAAATGTCATTTTAGAGATAATGTTATCACATCATACCCACTACTGACATGCCAGCACCTCTTCACTGCTAAAGACAGGGCCCTCCCACCCTCCCCCACCCCGTCTCAGTTCCATAATTGAGTCTACAAGGGTTTGCTATTATTGGACATTGTCTCTTCCCTGGCTTTGTTTCTTCACAAACCAAATATGAGTGTGTCATCTGGTGTTTATCATTTTCTTTCTGATATCCCTGTTAAAATGCCTGGAATCACAGAGGTTAACAATACATGTTTGATGGATGAAATGCATGAGAATAACGAGAATAACTTTAGATTCACTCCCTCACCTCTCAATTTCTACTTTATTCCACTTCATTTACCTCCTGTTTTTTTTTTTCTAACTGGTCAGAGAGAAGTCATTGATCTATCACAGGCTTCCATGCAAAATAAGAATGACAATATAGCAATGAAAACAATATACTATCTTTCCTCTCCCAGACTTTTAGACTTACATTTATTTTTGTGTCAGGGTTAGGCAGAAAAAGACGGATTTATGTCTCTTTTTGCTTGCTCTATCAGTCAAGCTCATCGTTCATACATTAGAGGACTGAAAAATCTTCAAAGATATAGCTCCCAGACATAAATTAAACCTCTTGCTTTGAGGTTTAGTTCCTGTTTGATTTTTAAGAAAGCTTAAAATAAAATTGCTACTGAAAGGATAAAGATGATGACAAATGACTTATTTCCAGATTTCCTCCAGCTTACTTTAAAAGAGCATATTTCTTAAAATAAGAAAGGACTTAACATTGAAAAACATAATGCTATAGACTTTTTACCCTTTCCTGAATGTACAAGAAGAGAAGACTCCATTTCTTTTATTACAGTGTCAATATAAACAATAGCAACTTGAATCCAAGATATACTATTTTATCCTTAGCCTTTAAGTTCAAAGAAGAATATTAAGGACATGTGTTTATGTTGCAAACAAAGAAGAGTTCTTTGCTTACCCTTTCAGAAATTTAGCCTAGCTTGGGTGTATCTGTACCAAAATAACTACGTGTATCTCTACCAAAATAACTTACTATTTCCTTCTGATTCTGCTAGGCAAACAGATTCACAAATATCACTAGGAAATAAATCATAATAAATATTTGTTCTTCTAACCTACTTATGAATGTCTAGAAGGTTAAACTCAAGATCAGACAAAAACGCATGCACACATATTCTGCTAAAATTTAGAGTGCTCAAAATTATCCAACAGACTATATGAAAATTCCAAGTTATTTTATGAATCAAAAGATAAAAAACCTTGTACTGATTCATCAATGGTGTTTAAACAGCCCACTGAAAGAAGGTTTTGTAATGTAATTGAAAAGGCTAAACTATGTAGGTTAACTTATGCCTATCTTCACATCGACCATAAAATGGATCAACATGAATATTCTTACCATACCCAGTCAAAAAGACACCATAACTTAACAACATGAGACAGTTAACCCTTGCATGTAGAAACCATCCAGGCAGTACCCTATAGATGATATTCATAAATATTCTTTTTTTATGAGTTTTAAGAAATATATTGCAATCATCATTAGCTCTTTAACAATACTTGTAATACGGGCAAATTTTATTCCAATTTGTCTATAAAAGTACAGAAAAAATGTACACCTACCTCAACAAATATAAAACATGGAATGATGGAATAACTTCGCTGAGTATTGTTTCCTAGAGCCATTTCTTACACTGTGTAGTAAGGTTGTATCATCTAAAACAGTCCAGCCTGAAAAAGAAATAATAGCATGGTATAACAGCAATAATTTGAAATATCTTACCTATTTAGGTAAAAATATCAGCTGTTGGGGCTGGAGAGATAGCACAGCGGGTAGAGCGTTTGCCTTGCACGTGGCTGACCCGGGTTTGATTCCCAGCATCCCATACAGTCCCCTGAGCACCGCCAGGAGTAACTGAGTGTAGAGCCAGGAGAAACCCCTGTGCCAGGTATGACACAAAAAGAAAAAAATATCAGCTGTTGGGTATATCGTATTCAATGTTGTAATCCAAATTATATTCAATGTTTGGTACACTGAATACAAACAGTCAAAATAGTAATCTACAACACAAGTCAGACCAGTCATCACTGCAGGGAAAAGATGATATACACTTTGAACCATCAGTGACAAAATGACCAGATATGGAGCCCCTAAACACATAGGCACAGTTCACAGTATTCTAATTATATGGTGCCACACAAAGTCTCATCCAAGTAGGTTACTCTCTTTCCAAGAAACAGGTTCTATTATGAAAGGTTCTATTATAAAACCTTTGCTAATGTGCCCACCCTGAACGGAAATTCTCCTTGTATGGTTCTAAATTATAGCATGGACACTGCTGTTTTTGCCCTTGCCTCTCTCTTTGAAACTGGCCTTTAGTATCCTCTGACTTCCTATCCTGACCATAGTGATTTTATGACACAGATACTAAATACTAAGAGTAAATACATCACTGGTCCATTAAACTGAGTTTCCTTAGTCTCACTGGTCCAGTGTTTGGAACCCAAATACAATAGGTTGTCATGATGATACACTCTCTTAACTCACAGTAATAGAGTTCCTAGGAAATAGAAAATACTTTAAATGTTTTGTTGAAACATGTATTCATATTTAAATAACATATATATCGGAAATTTGCTAATTAATTTTAGCTCTTTTTTAAATAAAAAACAACAAAATAATGATTTTAGAATTTTAACGAACTTCTGGTCAGACTAAAAAAGAGTTTTTTATTATACACATTTTATTCTCTGTTAGATATTTCTCCAGATAGTTAATTAGTTTTCATTTATTCTGTGTCTGTGTCATTTTCCCCTAAAGTTCTAGTGGATAATGATATGGAGAATAGCCAAATGCATTTTTCTTAAAGACCATGGATTAAGGTTAATATTGAGACTCAGTTTTAGCTTTAACTCACTCTGCACTTTTTTCAGGTGCAGAATTGAAATTTTTATATTAAGCAATATTTGCTTAATTATTAATATTGATGAATAACATTAATATTTAATATTATTTCATATTAAACAATAAATTATTAAATATTCATATTAAACAACATTTAATTGGATATACTTCCTTAATAATATTGTCTCATTTTTCCTGTATTTGGAAGGGTGGGGGACAGGGTGTCCCAGTAGTTTTGAGGCCCAGGGGCCACTCCCAGAAAAATACTGGGCAGTGTGTTGCTCTGCCTCAGGATGTGGTGTCCTGCAGTAAGTACTAGGGAAGCCACTAGAAGAGCCCTTGCTGCTCAGGGCCATATCAGGATGTCCAGGAGATCCAGGGCTAGCCCCAGGGGTGGAAAGGCATGCAGTAATGCAGTGCCAAGGCTCTAACTCTGCAAGCCAGACATGTGCTCTACCACTCTGAGCTATTTCCAGGCCCTCATTAACATTTTAATCTTTTTTTATTACAGCCATTCTAAAGACTCTGAAATGATCTTTTATCTTGGCTTTCATCTCACAATAACAAATGATGTGAACTTTTTTTCATGTGCTTATTAATCAATCTTCTTTATTCTTGTGTAAAATCTAGCCAAATCTTCTGAGTTTGCTTTTGTTTTGTTCAGGGGGGGTTGTTTTTCAGGCCATACCTGGTGGTATTCAGGGCCGGGGATCAACCTGTTGAAGAACAAGTACCCTATCCATTACACTATCTCTCCACCCTTTAATTTTGCTTTTGTTTTAAACTGGCTTATTTTATTTACAAGTACTAAGGATTCTTTGTGGATTTAGAATGCTAGGATTATCAGATATGTATTTTGCCTTTTGATAATCAATTTGTCTTACAGTTGATATTCTGCTTCGATATACCTTAGTACTAAATCTGTGGGTCTATGTTGTTTTTACTCCTCCTAAATTTGGGGAAATTGGCAGTGGTTATATGTAGAACAAATTTTAACCCATTCTTAATTTTTCTGGGACTCGTGACATGCACAGTAGATCTTTTCTTTAAATCCCTCATGTTCCTAAACTCTGTTGATTTCATGTTCTGTATATTTTGCCTTTTATTTAAAGTTAGTATTTTATTTTGTTCTACCCTCAATTTCACTGAGTTTTTCTTGTCATCTCCATTATGGTGTAAAGCCAATTTCATCCATTGGCTTATATTTTCAAATTTATGTTGTCGTATCTTAGTTTTATTATTTATTTATTTTAGTTTTGGAGGCATACCCAAGGGTGCTCAGAACTTATTCCTGGTTCTGTACTCAGGGATCACTCTTGCTGATGCTTGGGGGACCATATCCGGTGCCAAAAAAAAAGACATGGGTTGATTGTGTCCTGGGCAAGTGCCCTATCTTTCTGGTCCTCTATTTCTTAGTTAAAAAGTTCCCATTTACTTTTTCCCTATATTTGTATTTCTCTGTTGATGCTATTTTTTGTATTTGATGCAAACATGTTTGCAATTTTTAAAGGATTTTTATAATACTTTAAAATTCCTGTTAGATAATTATAACAACTGTCATCTTAATATTGGTATTTATGAATAATCCTTTTCTATGTAGTCTGAGATCTTCCTGATTGGTAGTATGAAGACTCTGATTGATGGTAACCTTGGGTTGTTAAATTAGATGAAAGACTTGAGTTTTATTCAAATTCTAAATTTCAACAAAATTTCTCTGACCGTGCCGCCATATTTAGAGGGAATACAATCTTATCACCATGTGAAAGTAGAAGTCTAAGTTTTCCATATGGCAACAGATCACACCTTGTTGTGTGGTGTGACCTTTTTCTGGGCAGATGCAGAGATCAGGTTCCCAAGTTGGCTTCCACTGATAATACCCTGGCAGGGAAAGGAAGGAATTATCTAGTTTGTTTGTTTGTTTGTTTGTTTGTTTCTGGGTCACAACAGGCGACACTTGGGGGTTACTGCTGGATCTGCACTCAGGAGTTACTCCTGGAAGTGCTCAGGGGATCATACGGGATGCCGAGATGGAACCTGGCCCGACACATACAAAGGCAAACACCTTACCCGCTATACTACCACTCCAGCAGGAACTATCTCTCTAAGGCTTCCCAAATGGCTCCATTGACACTGGAAAAGCAGCCTTACTATTTTTGATTGGTGGTAAAATGCTAACCTTTCTACTCAGGCTGATATCACTGCAGTAAGGATGGAATAAGTTTTTATCCTTGTTACCAGGTAGAGACAATGGTGTAGGTTCCATATTTCTAATTCCTCCACTGATAGTGTAAGAAGAGTCTACTCATTGCCCGGCACAAGAAATGTCACTGAGTCCCTGTGAGATCTCATCTGACATGACTGCTAGGAATCCACAGGAACTTCTTGACAACCTGGCTTGGATGTAAGCAGAGCCTCCACTTGTCTTTCACTGGCAGGATCCAGAAGGACTTAGCTTTTTCTGTGTTATCTGGCCAGAGTGAAAGAGTTCTTTTCTTTTCTTTTTTTTTTTTTTGCTTTTGGGTCACACCCAGCAGTGCTCAGGGGTTACTCCTGGCTCTGCTCTTAGGAATTACTCTTGGTGGTGCTTGGGGAACCGTATGGAATGCTGGGGACTGAACCCTGGTTGGCCACGTGCAAGGCAAATGCTCTACCCGCTATACTACAGCTCCAGCACCAAAAGAGTTATTTTCTAAGCCTTCTGCCTGGCTAGGCTTCTCTGTGTTGAGTCCTTTGGCAAGGCTTTTCATTGGGCTATTTTGTATGTAAATTTTAGTGTTTGTGGGTTGTGTGCTTCTCCAACAGCTAGTCTGAGATATGAGGCAAAAAGAAAATTCTGGGAACTCACTATTGTGTTGTTTCTTCTGTTCTAAGGCTTCTTGCCATTCTTTCTTTTCTGCCTTTAAGAGTTGCTTATACTGGTTTTGTATTTAGTGTCCACAATATTTGAATTTATTTAGTAGCGGGAATAGAGTATCTTTTTCACCCTCCTAGAAGCAGAAGTCACAGGTGTCTTTAGGAGGGAATACCACAGATGTCAGGGGCCAAGAGTGTTATGTGGCCCAGCCCTGCTATATTTTCATAAATTAGTCTCTTGGTAGCCAAGATTTCAAAATGCAAAAATAAATGACTTCATTCATTCAGGGGTATCTAATTTATGCCAAGTATCCTGTTAGGTACAACTAGAAACAGCAAGCAAATCAAATACTCTGTACTTAAGGGTGACAGCTAAAAAAGGGACTGGAATAAGTGTAAACAATGAATTCTAGGCCCAAGCACAAAATGAAGAATGACAAGAATGTGACCAACATAAATGACTCTAATTTTAGTGTTAGTGAATTCTTATGCATAAAATACAGCTGATACAGGGCCTGAATGCTGTGTCTACTTTCAGAAGCATATGAATACCTTAAATTCTTTTAAAATTGTAAGGAAATAAAAAGAATTTCTGGGTAGCAAATATTTTAAGATATATTATTAAATTCACTTTACATCAATTCAGTTAAAAATATGACTTTAAATTTCTGGGAGAGATCTCTCATATTGTACCACGAGGTTTCAGGGTCCCACCAGCTATTCTCACCAATCCAGGCAGAGGTTCAATGTCAAAGGCACGAGGATATAATGCTGGTGGGTACCCTGGTGTTGGGGACATCCAGGCTACCTGGTAGTGTTGGGGGACTCTAGGGTCACAGAGATTGTGCTTAGAGGTTTTCAGGTTTTCAGTTACAACTGTATGGCTATACTATATAGTTCTCCAGAACCACGTGGAGCCAGGAATCAAACCTGTAATTGTCAAGTAATTGTCAAGTAATTTCCAAGCACAGAT